ACAAATCAAGAAAACCAAAATTGAAGTTTCAGCTCCAAAATATGTTGAATATATTTGAAAAACAGGGAAAGGAAAAATGGAGGAAAAGATGGATGTGGATGGTGGAAATAATAGAGTGGATGATTCTCCGAGCCCAACCCCGAGAGAGAGAGATATCAAGCATCTCTTGTGTATATGAGCTGTCTGTGGTCTGTGGGAGGATGGGTCTGGAAAAGCTTGGTCTTCGTTGCAGCCATTGTAAAGGCAGAGAAGAGCTTAATTATGGAAGAAGGTATGTGTAAAAAAAAACAAGCAGACTAGGTTGAGGTCCGGCGGGCGGCTAAGGTGAGGTTGCCGCCCGCCGGGAAGCGAAAATACTAGATTCTTAAACCTGCTCTGATACCATGTAGAAAATTTAATGTATAGAAGAGAAATGGAGATTGTATTATTGATTGATGTATGTTCTATATCTTCTGTCTATTACAAATGGTTCCTTATATAGATGTAGTGTAGGTGTAGTGGGTTAGGTTTAGTGGAATAGGTGAGGTGGAGTGGTGTAGTGGGTTAGGTTAGTGGAGTAGGTGAGGTGGTAGTGGTGGTAGGTTTATTGATAAATTTTAACATACTAAATAAGAAGTCCAAATCCTAGATCGACTTCGTTCATCGACATTGAAAGGCATACCGAAGTCGACTTCATTCGTCGACATTGAAAGGCATACCGAAGTCGTTCCTCCTTCTTCCTTTCTTTTTCTTCTTCCTTTCTCCTTTCTTCCCTTCGACTTCACTGTCGGACCCCTTTCTTCCCCCCTGTTCTTCCTTTGTTCCAGCCGTTCCTTCTTCTTCACTGAAGAACACTATCGAACCCTGTGTTAAAATTAATTCAATTATTTTTTAAAATTAATTTTTAATTTGCAAAAATTAATTTTTAAAATTAGTTCAATTATTTTAAAATTAATTTTTTTTCAATTAATTCAATTATTTTTTTTCTGTGTTAAAATTTCAATTAATTCAATTAATTTCCTGGTTATTTTAATTTCCTGGTTATTCAATTCATTATTTTAATTCAATTAATTCAATTAATTTGTTTATTTTAATTCAATTAATTTCCTAGTTATTTTAATTTCCTGGTTATTCAATTAATTATTTTAATTCTATTAATTCAATTAATTTGTTTATTTTAATTCAATTAATTTCCTGGTTATTCAATTAATTATTTTAATTCTATTAATTCAATTAATTTCAACTATTTTAATTTCTTTATGTTCTTTAATGTTGTTAAAATATGTTCTTTAATTTCTTTATGCTGAAAATATTTATATTTTTGTCTATACCATTTATTTTAAAAAAATATCCTTTCTGGTCGCCTCGATTCGATGAAGCCCTTGCCTCGCCTCGTCGCCTCGCGCTTTGGCGTTAGGAGACCTTGTCGCCTCGGTTCGCTTTTCGCCATAAAAAACACTGCCTGACTTAACCCTCTGCTGGGACATGTGGCAACGCCGGATTGGATCTTCTCAAAAGGGTGACAAAATGACAAGACAAGAGTATGACAAAGTGTGTATAACAAGCAAAGTGACAAGGGCACTCTGACAAGGCAATGACCTCGGATCAAGACATAGGCTTTGGCAAATAAGGTCTCAATGATCTCGGCTAGGAAGGATAACACTTGACCTAGCTGTGCTACACCTCGGCCTAGATGTGCCACACCTCGGTCTACGTCATACCAGTCCAGGAACAAGATCACTAGGTGCAAGGATCAAGGATGTTGGTTGGCTAGATGATAACATCTCGGCCTAGATGGTACACATCTCGGCCTAGGTGATGCACACCTCGGCCTAGTTGATGACATCTCGGCTAATATGCCAGGGTGAAGGTGGAGGTCAACCAAAGTGGTTCCAAGATGGTTCTAGGTATAAGAGGTTCAAGGGTGTGACCTAAGCTACACACACTAAGCAAGGAACAAAGCATACAAGCAATACTTAGGCAAATCACATAAGCACAAAACAAGACAGGGACCTTTACTTGGACAAAACAATTCAAAATCTACAAATGCAAGCTCATCAAGACAAAATCATCCAGATGCACATGAACGTGACTAAAACGAGAATGAGGGTCATTACAGGAATCGTATTGAAAGTGGACATGGAAATAAAGTTTAATTCAGGATTTCTACTTTTCTTTTAGGCTGTGTTTGAATTATGGATTTGGGGAGAGATTTGTGAAGGAAAAGGAAAAGTGGAGGGAAATGTTAACGAAATATAAGCTCTTTTTTTTTTTTTGGTCCTCTTTTCTTTTCTCTCAGCGTATAAAGGATCCAAACATAGACTTATGCAAGCATGTGATTTTGGGGCTAGAGGGAGAAGGTGTTTGCCTTTCTGTGTATGAACTTGTTCCTTTTCTTTGCCTTGTGATGGTGCTTGAAGCATTGACATGATATCTGCCAAGTTTGCCCTTCATCCCTGCTGTTGTACAGTTGGTGATGCTTTATGAAGGCTTCTGTGAAAAGCTAATGATCTCAAAGGGAGTTTTCTGTTAAGGGAAAGTGATCTATGTAAATAGAACTTGCAATTTTGCAGACAAGTTGTTGTATATGGAGCCTGATGTACCATGTTTCTTTCCTGCATTTTTATGTGTTCTTACGTAGCCTCAAGTTTGATAGTTAACCTCAGTGTTCTGAGTTATTTCTGCCTGTAGCCTGATTGACATCCATTCTTGGTTTTATGACTATGTTTTGAGTTATTTTGGAAGCTCCAACTCGAATGAGGAATTTCTGCTCGGTGTGGCGATTCCTTGTACGGAGGCTGGCCATGAGGGAGGCATGAAAAAAATTTCAGCTCTGGTAGGAAGGATAAAGAGTGAGGATATACCTTGCTCTTGTTTCTCTCTCCCCGTTTCTCATAATTACCTAAACGCCAATTTTTTTGTTGATAAATCAGAGGAAAAACCTAATCTTCATTAGCTATCTGACCATTTTTAATCTCATGACTTGGATGGAGGAAGATGAACTCTTCATTAGTACACGGTTTTTTATGAATCCTCGAAGCCATTGGTTCTGAACATGTATTTTGTTGTCACTATTGACTGAGTATCTTTATGGCCATTTCAGGTTGAAGGTTCTCAAGAAATGGCCTCCATGGCAGGTGCTGTCCCGGCTGTGGAACAAAGGGAGGAATATGATCCTTTGGCTACACCAGATGTTGACAAGTAAAACTCCACTCCTTCCTCCCTAGACTGACATATTTAGCTGCTATACTATTTGGTGCAGCTTATAGCTTCTATTTTTTATTTTTTGGAAATTTGTGCTAATGTGTTTGGTGCAATTCTCTTCCAATTTATGAGACAAAAAAATAGCTTAAATAAGCGGGGGAAAAAAAAAAAAAAAAAAAAAAAAAAGAGCTGATTATTGGGAAGCAGGGGGGAGGTACTTTTAGTTTCTGCTTTTTGATTATCAGCTTTCAGTTTGTTAGAAGTTCACCAAATAATTGATTTCTTGACCAACCGCTGATAATAATCAATATTTGTTTGTAGGTTGAATGCTGCTTACCTTGCCGTCCATGGAAGTGCCATTTTGGGCCGGCCCATGTGGCAGAGAACCTCATCACTCTCACAGCAAGCATAGTCTCCTATGGAAGCACCTATTTTATTTGTCGGTCTCTAATTGGTTTTTGGTGTGCTAATGTGACGGAAAGACAAACCAAAACCATGCAAGATCACAATCATTAGCAAGAAAACTGCAGTTCCAGAGGGGAATCCTGGTAAATTTTGCTTTTGTACATGTTCTGCCTTGAAGGCGATTTCCTCTTCTGGTTGCAGCAGTAAACAAAAACACAGGAAAGCAGATCCATTCTATGGCATAAATTTTGAAGTCATTTTTAGATTGTTGTGACATGACATTTTGATTTGTAGTATAAATAAATAGAAGAGAATGATATGGTGCTTTCTTTCAAGTAGACTGAGCTCAGAAGTCTGATCTCTGAGATACATTATTGACTTTTAAAAATGTTGAATTCCTTTTGGTTGGATCTTAAAAAGTTTGTTTGTATTCCTGAATATCTGGTGCATGCATTTCTCAAGTCATGGCTGACTACTTGTGTAACATCCCGTCTTACGCGCGGGCTTGATTAGGTTTACGAGCTTTAAAGCGGTATTCAGGATGAGGATGTTGCAATTTGCCTCTAGGGTATTCCAAGTTGCCCATCAGTATTACATGTACTCGAGCATTCTGGTAGTAAAGCAGGAACAGATTCAAAGGGAATCTATTTAGGTGTGTATTTCGGCTGGCTTCTCAGAGCTCTACCTTCCAAAGAATTTATTTATTTATTTATTCTGTGGATCAAAAAAAAAAAAAATTAAAATAAAGATTTTGAGGAAAGCTTTTGATTTTTTTTTTTTTTTTTTTTTGTTGGTCATTTTACCAATTTGCATTGTTGTTCTGTGTTCTTTTGTTGGAAAAGAGTGGGATATAATATGCACTAGATAGCAATGTTTATGGTCTATTTGCGTTCCAAAGATTTTAGCCAAAAAGTCATTAAGAAAGTTTAAAAAATTTCAACTTATACAAAAAAATTAAAAGATTTATTCTCATTTATTCATTTTTTTAAGTTAAAAATTATTTGTAAATGTTTTAATTTTTTTAATCTTATATTTTAGTTATAAAGTTATTAAAAATAGTAAATTATAAATGCACCTCTTAAAATTTGCTTAAAACACGGATTGATCTTTGTGGGTTAAAAAATTATAAGAATCTTTGTCATAATTTTTTATTTAATAAAATTAATTAAAAAAATAAAATTCTTAACTATACCCTGATATAATAATAAAATTATTTAAATTATTAATTAAAATATATTTATGATATTACTAAAAAGTGTTAATTTACTTGATAAGTTATTAATAAAAATGACCATTTGTTATGAAATATGAAACTCAAGGGGCGGATGTAATTTTTAAAATTACAAAAAGTAATTTATATTTTAAATAAATTTCAAAAGATGTATTTATAATTTACACTTATTAAAAAATTCATTTTTTTATTGAAGAAGCTTAAATATCTACTTGATTTTGGAACTCGAGACAAGAAGCACCATGTGTACTGGTGCTTGATATTATTTAGGAGAATGGTAAAGAATCACAATTTTAATCCTACAAATAATGATGTACTAAGAAATTGAATCTTCTACTAAAGGAAATTGAATCTTATATTATTGAGCGGGTAATAGATCAAAAATTAATATCTACCGTCTTATATTTTTAGAATAATGCTTGGAACCCCTTTTTGGGGGTCACCCCCTCACCCCCCTTTGCCACGTGACAGGGGGTGATTGGAGGAGCAGGAAAAAAAAGAAAAAGAAAAAGAAAAGGTAACCAATGAGAGAGAGAGGGGGTCAAAGGGGGTGGGAGGAAAAGGGGGATGAATCATTACTCATATTTTTATGGGTCAAATTGTAAAAGCTTCTTGTGAGTTTCAAATATTTTTTTATTATTTATTCCTCAATCATTAATTTAAATGTTGTGGTTGAATCATAAATTTGTAGAAGAAAAAAAAAAATATAAAGCTTTGTCTAGGAAGTGGATTGACTTTTTGATTTTTTTAACTTCTTTAGTCTGGAGCTAAAAAGTCTCGTTTGAGTTTGATTTTTTGATTTTTTTTTTACTTTTTGTGAGAGAAAAAGTGAAATAATTATGGTTTGGATATGATATTTTTTCTTATTAATTTTTTTTAACTTATTTTATTTTTTTGTGACTATTTTAACTAAAACCCTACCAACTTTTCATGCCAAACGAAGGCCGGACAAGAAAAGTTAAATTTATTTTCTTGATTATTTCCTTTTTCTTGATAAATTATATAGTTTTGTATAAGTTTTAGGCTTCATTTGGAATGCAGGTTGTTATTTTAGCTTTTTAATTCTTTTTTTATTTTTACTTGGGGCTAAAAAATCTCGCTTGGGATAGACTTTTTGATTTTTTAAAATTTTATGAGAGAAAAATAAAATGATTATAATTTAGATGTGATATTTTATTTTATTTAATTAAAAAACCTATTATATTTTTTTATGATTATTTTAACCCCAATCCACCCAATTAGTGTTATGCAACGGATGCTCTGACCTGCTAGACCCGGTTGGCCCGACCCGACCCGTGCTATTTTGGGTGGATGCATGACACGTGGCAGACGGACAGGGGCCTAGATATTTTGATTTCGCGGATCTGGGTCGGGGTCGTAGGTAACCCATCACTCCCATTTGCGTACCCGACCTGCCTGCCCACCCTATTTTTCCCCATTTTCCCCTGTCTTGCCCCTATTTTTTCATTTCATGTTTTTGTAGTCCTAGTTCTTCGTTCGACCTCTCTCTCTCTCTCTTGAACGGCAATGAACGACGATCGACGATCGGCGACAGTGGCAGTGAGCGACGATCGACAATCGGCGACAGTGTCGTTGAGCAGTGATCGAAGCCTAAATTCGAAGGTATTCTTCTCTTCTCTTCTTTTCTTTTCATCTTCTTCTTTTCTCCTCTTGTTTTTGGGTTGCATTTGAAAACTGGAACTACATAGGAGCATTATTATTTTTTCATCAAACATCCATGTAGGTTTATATCTCTTTCAGGTTTTGAAGCCAGAAAAAGTAGACATAGATCTTAGAAGATGGTCGTTTTTTTTTTTTTTTTTGGTGTGAAGATTTATTATATAAGATCTCTCTCTCTCTTTTTTTAAAAAAAACCCTTCTTTTCTCTCTTTAAAAACCCCTTCGAAATCTCCGTCTTTTTTTTTTCTTCTAGTTGTTGACGATCTAAGCTTCTTGAAGTGTAGGGCCAGCCCTGGCCTAAGGTCAATAAAGTCTGTGCGTTAGGCTCCAAAATTTTGGCCAAAAAATAGGATCCCAAATTTAGTAAAATATTATAGGCCTAATATTTTTTTTTTGTTTTTGTTTTAGGATTAATTTAAAGGGTCTCAAAATATTTTATTGGGTTATGGTTTAGTTCATATTTATTTATAAGTATAGTTTGACCCATATTTATTAAAATGAAAATATATATTAAAAAAAAAAAGTATTTAGTCCCAAGAAGAACAATACATATGGGCCTTAATTTTTTTTTATTTTTTTTACCTTCTTTATCTATTAAATTTTAGTGGAATAAATAATTTTGTCCTAATTTTTTACCGAGGTCTTTATCAATTTTAATAGAATAATTTTTTCCTAATTTTTTTCTCTAATTTTGTTTCATTAAATTGTTTTGTTTATAATTTTAATGATTATATATGCAAGTAAATATTTTTATGGTTACAAACAAATAAAAAGTTTGTAACTTATTGTTTAATTTATGAAATTTTTTTTTTCAATATAAGAGAAGCTCCCATTTTCAAAATTCGCCTTAGACCCTCTAAATCTCAGGCCCGCCCTGTTAAAATGATATTACCAAAGCACCACTTTTGTGTTTCTTTGTATTTCTTGCTCTAATTTCGTCTTCTTTTTTTTTTTTTTTTTTTTTTTGGTCTTTGGCAGTGCCAGTCTCTGACTCTGAATTTCCACGATTCTTTAGTTATTGGGCATAGGGCGCACAACTAAATTATTGAATCCATGGGGCCTTCTTGAGGAGAGGTGATTGCAGAATGTGGGTCCGAGGTAAATTTTATATACACTTGCTATTTAATTAGATTTACAGGTTTTTGATTTCTGGGGTTTGGTGGATTTCTATATTTTATATACAGTTTGACTGGGAGTAAGAATGATTTATTTTACATATTTATGTGTGAGGTGTTGGTTAGAATTTTTTTAGTTCTGTAATGGAGTTGAAAACAGGGAATTAAACTTTCTATATTTTTTTTATGCAAGTGTTTTTTGTATTACAGATGATGAGTGTAATGGAGTTGAAAACAAGGGACTAAACTTCCTATATTTTCTTTATGCAAGTGTTTTTTATATTACAGATGATGAGTGATGTATTGAATTTTGTATAAAATTTTAAACGTTAAACCAATTCATATTCATTCGTCAACTCATTCAATCTACATCCATTGAATTAACAGACAGAAACAGATTGATTTTTTTAATCCGCTAATCCAATAAACAAATGACGAATTAAAAGTTTTGTGGTCATAATCGATCCGTACCCACCCTATACCCAATCCATCATGCCAAATCAGGGCTTAGCCTCTCGCAACTTGTGTTTTGTTTTGTGTCTACTTTACTTTTAGAGCATAGGGCTGAATTATCTATGACTATTGGCACTCGTAGACTTGGGGGCTTTTCTCATATTAAGTCTAGCTAAAGCGCTATTACAAATCGCGCTTTCACTGTTTGAAGCTCAAAATATGATGAATAGTGAAAGTGTTATTGCAAACCGCGCTTTTGATTAAGAAAGCGCTGTTAAAAAACACGCTTTTAACATAAAAAATTTTTCTAAAGAAAACGCTATTTGAAATAGCGCTTTCACTGCGCATTCGTATTCGAAAGAAAACGCCATTTAAAATCGCGCTTTCACTTTTCTTAAGAAAACGTTTAAATTATATTAAAATGTGACCAAAGCAAAACAAATATGCCTTGTAGTACAAATGGTAGTGTGCTTGTTTTTCCACCACAGTGGCGTGGGTTCAATTGGCAGGAATTGCTACATTTCAATTAAGTTTAACTTTTTTTTTTTTTTTTTTTTTCCTTCCACTCGCTCTATACTTTATATATTTATTATGTAATTTTTTTATCAAAAAAAGTAAAATATTTGTTTGGTTAACTAAATTTTTTTTTCTATAAAATACAATTTTTTTCAAAATGTCAACATGATTATTTAAAAAGTATTTAGTGTATTTGGTTTGAATTTTTTGGATTTAGTTATTTGAAAACTGAGTTTTTTTATTTTAGTATTTTTTTATTTTTAGTGAATATTTTTAAAATTTTAAACCTTTTTTTATACTTTTTAAGATGCACCTTAGTTAGATATATCTAAAAAATAAAAAAATTGTGAAAAAATATTTTAAAAAATTAATAAATACATAAAAATATAAAAAATGCACTGAAAAAATATTTTTGTATTTTTAGTATCTTTTCAGCAAATTATCATTTTTTTTCAGCAAAATGTACTCAAAAAAATATGCACAGCGAAAGCGTACTCAAAAAATATTTTTTCAGCAAAATGTACGTTTTTAAAATGTACCAAAATATTTTAAAAACGTACATTTTTTATGTATTTATTAATTTTGTAAAATATTTTTTCAGAATTTTTTTACTTTTTAGATACATCTAACTAAGGTGCATTTAAAAAAGTAAAAAAAATATTTAAAATTTTAAAAATATTCACTAAAAATAAGAAAATAAAAAAACTCAGTTTTCAAATAACTAAATCCAAAAAATTCAAACCAAATACACTAAATACTTTTTAAATATTCATGTCGACATTTTGAAAAAAATTGTATTTTATAGAAAAAAATTTTAGTTAACAAAACAAACATTTTACTTTTTTTTATAAGAAAATTACATAATAAATATATAAAGTATAGAGTGAGTGGAAGGACCAAAAAAAAAAAAAGTTGAACTTAATTGAAAGGTAACAATTCCTGCGGATTGAACCCATGCCACTATGGTGGCAAAACAAGCACACTACCATTTGTACTGCAAAGCATTTGTGTTTTATTTTGGTCACATTTTAATATAATTTAAATGTTTTCTTAAGAAAACAAATATGCACAGTAAAAACGCGATTTCAAATAGCGTTTTCTTCCGGATACGAATGCGCAGTGAAAGCGCAATTTCAAATAGCATTTTCTTCAGAAATTTTTTTTCCGTTAAAAGCGTGATTTTCAACAGCGCTTTCTTAATTAAAAGCGCGGTTTGCAATAGCGCTTTCATTATTCATCACATTTTGAGCTCCAAACAGTGAAAGCGCAATTTGTAATAGCGCTTTAGCTTAGTTTGAGAATTCCGTCCAAACTAGGCTTAGTTTGGAAATTAAGATACAAAATAAGCTTAATATGGGAAAAGCCCCCGTAGACTTGCTTGTAGAAATCTTGAACAACTCAAAACCTGCATTCTGCATCATCTTCTCGAGGGGTGGTCCAATCCTTTTAAGGGAGAGTTATGTTAGCAACTCTAAATATTCTATTAAATATTTTATGAAACATCTCATATAGGCTCGAGATTTACACATATGTAAATTTGTACGAGTCTCATTCCATGTGAGAAGTTTGATATAATATTTGGGATATATAGCATTTTTTTTAAGAGATTTAGCAAAATTTTAATATGAGGCCTTCTGTAATAAAATTTTGTTAATATTCCATCTATTCCAAAATATTAATATTTTATTTAATTTTTTATTATCTCAAATATTAGTCTTTTAACAAAAATTAAGAATAAAAATAATATAAATTTTTTATTTTATCTTTCTTTTAAATTCATTAACAACATAAAAAGTATAATTTTGATAATTGATATTCTCTAAAAAATATACTATTAAAAGATAATTTTAGAAAGATAATTTTTTTAAAGTACAATAATTGTACTAGTAAAAAAATTAAATTTCCCAAAGAGACGGTTATTTTAGGATGAATGGAGTATATCTTTTTCAATTGATAATTTTTCTTTTCTTTAATATATCTTTTTTATATTTTCTATTAGACATTTATAATTTATAAATTTATATTTATCTTTCTTTTAAATTCATTAACAACATAAAAAGTATAATTTTGACAATTGATATTCTCTAAAAAAATATACTATTAAAAGATAATTTTAGAAAGATAATTTTTTTAAAGTACAATAATTGTACTAGTAAAAAAATTAAATTTTCCAAAGAGACGGTTATTTTAGGATGAATGGAGTATATCTTTTTCAATTGATAATTTTTCTTTTCTTTAATATATCTTTTTTATATTTTCTATTAGACATTTATAATTTATAAATTTATAAATAAAACTAACACAATGTACAAAAAAAAAAAAAAATGATTAAAATCTATTAAATTATAAAAGCAAAAAAGCCTGCAAACCCACTTGCCAAACATGGGCAAAAGGTTATCCTTTGCTTGCCTCATCGAATAGATGAATCACTCAAGATCCAAGTCTAAGGTTCACAATTAAAAATAATTTTTTTTACTATAAAAATAAATAAAACCATATATAAGATAATAAAAAAAATTAAAATAAACTTTACCTGTGACACCAATAAAGGTTTCACTCCTTGTCAGATGTATATAAAGGAAGCAATTTCGCCTGTGTTTGGTTGTATTTTCTAAATATATTTCTACCTTTTATATGTATTTGACGTTTGTTAGCGTTTGTTTATGGTTTTTAAAAGTTAATTTCACATTTAATTTTGAAAATTCTATCAAAGGCGGAAAAAATTGAGCTAACTGGTCGTTCAGCCGGTTGACCGGAACAATATATATATATATATATATATATTTCAATTGCGACCAGTTATTTTTTAATATTTTAAATAAAAAAATATTTTCAGAATATATTCAATAAAAAATATTTTCTGCATTTTTTAAAATTTTTATGAAATTCAAATAGAATTTTGAGTTGTGTATTTGGTTATGAGTTGTAAGTTTTTATATCAAATATCATTTGTTACATCAAATATTTCTCACTCAATTCAAAATTCTTTTTAAAACTCATTCACCAAACAAATTTTTCACACTCAAATCATAATTTCAAAATTCACAAATTCAAAATAAAACTCCTATTTTTAAATCATATTTAAAAAACTTGGGATTTTTATTGATAAATCCAATTTAGAAGTGTTTTAACCCAAGAAGTCCATGAAGGAATTTTTTAACCCATTTAGTCCCATGTATGTATAGTTTTATTCCATAAAGTCCATTTTCTTGATTTACACTATTTTTGCAACGTTATGACACCACCATACAGTGTCTTCACCAATGGTCTGACACGACCATACAGTGTCTTCTATCATTTTTTTTTTTTATGTATTTTCTTGTTTTGTTCCTCTCTTCAAACTCAAGTTGGTTAGTTTCTATCCTCCTTGAGTTTGCGGGGGGCTGTTAGAATTTACCATCACCTACCACCACTACCACCTCACCTACTCCACTAAACCTAACCCACTACACCACTACCACCATCCACTACACCTACATCTATATAAGGAACCATTTGTAGTAGATAGAAGATCAATCAAAATCAATCAATAATACATAAATTTTTACATGGTATCAGAGTAAGGTTAAAGATCTTGGTGTTCTTCGCCTTCCGGCGGGCGGCAACCTTGCCTTGACCGCCCGCCGGATCTCAACCTAGTCAGCTCGAATTTTCTATACACTACCTCCTCACTTCCTCCCCTTCTTCGACGCCACCTTCTTCCCCGGCGACTTCACCGTCGCTGTCTTCGCAGCTTTCTTCGGCTTCGACACGGCCTTTGGCTTCGGCGCAACCTTCTTTGTCTTCACCGGCGTAACACCCTTCGCCTTCGCACCGCCTACAACCTTCGCACCGCCTACAGCCTTCGCCTTCGCCTTCACAACAACCGTCTTCTTCACGGGAACTTTCACTGTCGCCGCCGCAGCAGGAGCCTTCTTGACAGCGGCTGATACAGGCTTCGCCGCCGAAGACAGCTTGAACGAGTTCTTAACCTTCACAAGCTTCTCAGATGCGACGAGCTTCTTCAACTGAACGAGCAAAAGCTTCTTGAAATTCGGCGGCAGATGAGCCTTTTGCTTCTCTTCGATGAACTTCGCAATCGCGTACTGGCTCGAACCAGTCCTCTCCTTCATCGCCACAATCACATCCGTAATCATCTCAACGTAAGGAGGATGTGCTCGAGGCACCTTCGGAGCAGACGCTTTCTTCCCTTTCGTCACTTTCGCAGAGTTCGCTTTCGCCGTCACAGAAGCCATGAATGCAAAGCAAACTTAGAGAGAGTAACTAATGCAAAGCAGACTCTGCCTCGTCTCTGTATCTCTTATACATCATCTCCTTCTCCTTAATCTTTTTATCAAATTCTGATCTATCCCCAGCGCGCTTTCCCCATTAATATATTCTTTACAACCCATTTTTCAACCACTCTCTTTAAAAAAAAAAAAAAAAAAAAAAAAAAAAAACTTTACAACCAACTCTCTTTACACCACCCACGTGATCCCACTCTCTTTACCACTTTGTTTATTTCTTTATTTATTATTATTTTGTTTTATCTCTTCCTCCTTTTTATTTTAAAACCGATTTTTCCTGACACTACCACGCTCCACTTCCTATCTCATCTCTCTCTCTCACCTTTCTCTCTATACAGCCAAAGCTTTTGTTTAATCTACACACCACCATTCCTATATATTCACATACATACACTCATGTTTTTCAGTCCACTTTTGACCCATCCTCACCCCACTTTCTTTTTTCTTTTTTTTTTATTTATTTTTCGTACTCCTTCTCGTCACTTTCGTTTCTCATCATCACATTACACTCTTCTTTTATCCCCCATTTCTTTTATACTTATATTCTTTACTATTCTTTTTTTATTTTCTCTTTCATTTTATTTTTATCTTTTTTTTCATTATTATTTCTTTACACATAAAAAAAAAAAACAAAACAAAACAAAACCAAAAAAAAAAAAAAAAAAAAAAGCGGGAAGAAGACGAACTGCATACCATCTATTTTTATCATGTCGGGCGCTCACCCGATCACCATTTTACACGCACACCACAAAAAAAAACAAAAAAAAAAAACAATAACAAAAAAAAAAAAAAAAAAAAAAAAAAAAACACAACACCAAGATTTGTTTTCTTTTCTGCAGACGGCCAACCCACCGACCTCATCTTCTATCGTCCTATTCC